CTATTACTCTGGATGATACAGCAGGCTTAATAAACATCAAAATATATATTAGTTTATATTAAATTATTACAAAATTCACATTGAATTATATACAAATATTAAAATAAAACATCAAACAACAATCAAACCTTCCTGAATTTCTTTATATGTTCGTATCGCGCCAATTTTAAGTCCTAATTTAATTATACCGCGAGATCATTGATAACTCACGATATTTTTGTTTGAATTAATTATATATTCAAGGCCTCAATAGTCTAATTGGCTAGGCAATTTGCGCGTAAAGCAAGGTATCCTGGTTCGATTCCTGGTCGAAATAATATTTTTCGCAATAAGAATAATTTTCCAGATTTAGTATTTTTAGATTATTAGAGTTGCATTTCAAGACCGACGATTCTCCGGCGCGCAATTTGGGGAGACTATATATATTAGTTAATTATTTTAACGTATATTAGTTAATTATTTTAACGAATTTATGACTCGCAGCCAAAATTATATTATCAGGAATAAAAAACAAATTATCAACGATGTAACAGTCTTGAATAAATTTTCAATTGGTAGCACTCACAGATTAAGAGTGAAGATAGCCAAAAATTTTAAGGAAAAATGAGTAATATTCCTAAAATTTGAGGCTAAATGGTAGATTAATCCGAAAAATTTAGAATTATTTTAGAAAAACATAGATAAAAATTTAGATATAATACAAACTATGGAGGGTGAAGAAATAAGCGTAGAGAGAGAGGATAAACACAGACATTGTTAAAGATTAAAAAGGAATAAAAAGGCTATAAGGAAGTACTGCATTGATAAATTCGAGAACGAGGAGAAGCTTAGTAACACCAGAAGCCCCCTTAAGGAAAGAAGAAAATTAAAAGACAAATGTGATGAATTTCACGGGATTAAAATAGCTAAGCAAAGATGTTTCTAAGAAAGTTAAAATGGACGTTTAAGACTACAATTTTGGAACCACAGTGATAGAAAATAACAGGGACTTTAAAAATATTCAGGCAGATGATGTCACGAGGCAATGTCACTTCTGCAAATTAGAAAATACATAAGGCCAAATGATAACAAACAGGAACGAAATTCTGATAACAGTGGAAGCCTTTTACGAAAAACTGTATAAGAAGTGCCAAGGGGATACGAATACTTTTAATATCTAGAGTCTTAAATCAGGGCAAACCCTTGAAAGTAACTATGGGATTATTTTCAAGAAAGATATCCCTGAAATTATCCTATTTGAAATAAGAAAGTCACTCGCAAAAATAAAAAACAACAAATCTCCTGGAGAAGACGGAATAGTAGTCGACAGAATTAAATTGGAATGAGAAAAACTATCAAACATACTGAAGTCTCTTCAACGAATACATTTCAAAAGGTACAACATCAAAAAAAATGGAACACACACAAAACGCAACTATATTATACATAATAAAAAAAGAGACATTACAAAGCTTGGAAATTTGTGTTCTATTAGCCTATTATCGCATATATACAAACTTTGTTTGTATATTATTACATCTCATGCGTAAATAAATTACCTTAGTAATATTATCATCTTCATCAGCACTATCATCTGCAGTAGATGGAACACGTGCACTTAATCGACTAAAAACTGTTTTTGGTTCCGCATTGGATCCTTGCCAACGTCGTTTGCTTCCTGCTAATTCATTATTCATAAACTCTGTTATAACTCTTCGACGATCTTCTTGCAATGGTCGTTTTTGAGATATTCTAGAAAAGAATAAATCAAACCAAAGATTTATTTTGTTTTCTGTTTCTGATTGCACTAATTCAAGAAATGAATACTGAAGCGTTTATTAAAATGACGTTATCAGTATCATAGACGAGATACTGTTAGTCTATGTTCAAGAATACACATCGAGTGCAGTGTCTCCAGGTATCAATTTATCTTTATTTAACATTCAGTGAAGGTAAATCTTCGGATGAGCTACATTCTTGTGACAATACAAAATGGTGTGTTTGTTTTGGTTGCCATATTGAGAAAAACATGCTAAAAGATAAGTTTTCTGCGATTATCTTTAAAATTGTTTGTGTTACAAAAAGTTTTAAACAAGAAATGTATCATCATCATATATTCTACAAGAAAGGTTCTTTATGTATAATGAAAGTATACCTAATACTTTAGTTGATATATTTAAAAAACTGATAAAAGAGCCAGCCAAAGTTTAAATCACGCACCGTATTAAATAAATGAGTCTATAATATACAAATAGCGTTTTGCATTAACAGAATTAATGCATACTCACATATAAACCTATGGAGGTGTCACTCACCGATTGTAATGAAACTTTGCAAATTTGTAGAACTATGAAAAAAATATTTGATACATATTTTTTTTTATTGACAAATTTGCAGTTTCATTAAAATCGGTGAATGACACCTCCGTAGGTTTACTTGTGAGTGCGCATCAGTTCTGTTTATTTGTCAGTGCACATTAAAGTTATTGTATTATCTTTTTTTATTTTCTCCACATTGGAGTAAGCACTAATAGTGTAGAAATTAGTGAAGATTTTTCCTATATAATTTGATATTGCTTGAAAATTTTTGTGGTGTTAAACTAGGTAGTGAAGAAGAGAAAAGTTAATGCCTAGCTGTCCGGATTGATTGTGATATAGAATCTCACTCCGTCAAAGTCACCAAAATTTGTACAAATAATGTAAGAATCTATATGTAATCTAAAAATAGATAAGTGATATTAAACCTACATACAAAAATATTTCCTACTGTCATTATCTTCAGCTAAGAATAGTAAAATTACATTAATATGTCTATCTTCATCATATGAATCTTAACATTTCCATGCAAACAATAGGTTTGTTTTTTATTGTTGAACATTTTGAATCTAAACTAGTAAAAAAATTGAAAACTGAAGCGTTCTTTATTATAGAACTGATGTCAAACTGATGTGATCTTTATTGCAGCAGCAAAACTCAATACAAAAATTCATTATTATTCTATTTATTTAGATCTAGAGTCAATGGAAACAGTACAAAATAATCAGAAATTACTGTATTCAGTAAAACACCATTTTTACTTATATATATATATATATATATATATATATATTAATAATATTACATTTAAATGTAATAATATATATCATTTATATTTTTTACCATCATCATCTTTGATGGCTGTGTTCACTGCGTGTTCAAAATACCGAGACACTACCGTGTCTCCAGATATAGTATATGTAACAAACTGTAGAGCTGTCAGTGAATTTTGGAATGTAGTCTAAGATTGTTTCTAATAGTAGAATGACAATTACATCTTCTTCATCAGAATCTAATGGATAATTCTAATAACATAATTTACTATGTCCATCATGATTATACTATACTTTTTTATTGCCTATTTACACTATATCATTGCTCAATTCTAGTTTAGTTATAGTGCACTTTTAAAGAGTTGCAATAAAAAAACCTAATATAGACCATTTTATTTTGCACTAGAACGTTTTTTATTTCTTATACGTTTATACTTGTCAATTCTAATTTATTCTAGTTCAGTTCAGTTCTAGAATAATTTTTATGCAGGAACAAACCTTAAATTACATGAAACTATAACTGATAAGAATGTATAACTATATTATTTAATATGTACAATATATACAATAAAAATAATATAAATGTGAGATAAATAATACAAATGCAATACAAATAATACAGAAATAACGCGGTTAAATAAAAATATAAGGGCCAATTGTTCCACCTTCCGGTAAATTTTACCTATTAGGTAAATGTGGTGATGCATGTGATTGGGTAATCTTGCTATTTACCTAACAGATAAAATTTACCGGCCCTAACAATCGGCCCTAAGAGAGTTTATGACAGTGAGTTATGTATATATTACAATATATAAATTGTTAAAATATTTCAAGAATTTTATTGCAAAATGCTTTAAAAAAATGTTTAATAATTTCATACGAATAAACCTAGAAAATAAAAATTAAAGATTTTTTCATTAAGTATAACCTAGACTGCAGTGGACCACTTTCGCCATCAGGAAGATCACGGCCCAAAATTTTACGAATGCTGCGGTCGAGACCACGTAGTCCATCGCGGGCAACTTCTAACTGTGCTTCTAATCTGTCGGCTTTCCATAACTCTTGACAATCTAATTTCCCCATTAGAAACTTTTGCACTTAATAATGTAGAAAATTAATTCCTTTAATAAAAATTGAAATAATATCGACACCAAAGTTGATCCGCGAAATCGGAGATAAGAAATTTTCGATCACACAAATCGTCAACTTGGACATAGATTTAATAAGAATAGATGAGCATTATTATTATACAGAAGTAAAGGTACCTTTACATTAAAACGTCAGCTCAAAAATTGGATCTAACCAATAGGGTGCAGTCCCATGGAGCGTATCGCGGATTAGCGGATCGCCAATTGTTGGATTCACACTGCAACCAATCAGAAAAATCGTATCATCGATACAAAATTTTGTTTCCTGATTGGTTACAGAGTCGTCGTACAACGAAAATCGGATGCAGTGTGAATCCAGCAAATCACAGAATCGTTCTGTTAAGCCCATTCTACATTGGTCGTATCGTAGACGTCGCAGGTCACAAATTTGTTGCAACAGCCAATCCGATGTGTCAATTATGGGCCTTCTACAATAAGCCGTAAGTCACAAATCATAAGTCATAAGCTAGAAATGGACCAATCACAGTCGTCAATTTTTAGTTTCTTACTTCCGATTTATGATTTATGGCTTATTGTAGAAGGCCCATAAACCAGGCATTAAAATAAGAACTGACTATGAATACCGGCCTATGGGACTGCACCCTAATTTCCGCTCAATGTGACTCCAGCCTTAAGTAGGTCGATCACGTTAAACGGAGTTGGTAAGATTCGCTCTAGATGGCAGTATCAAGAGGCGATCATAATTCCTCTATCGACGTAACTTCGTACTAACTAGTATTGCAACTGGCAACGAGTCAAGATCGAGTGAGAGAAGTGATCAAAAAATGGCATCCGCGCCGATGTCGCACAATGAGGTTTCCCAGGAATTTTCTGTCAACAAACTTATCCGTGTTGGTTATTACGAGCTGGAAAAAACTATCGGTAAAGGAAATTTTGCGGTAGTTAAAATGGCCACCCACGTCGTAACGAAATCTAAGGTAAAAGACATCGTTGAAATGTTTCGATGGTTACAAACATGAAATCCGTCATTTTGTCGTTAATATCTCCTGAATTCTGAGTATCTTTGTGAATACTTCTTTAGTTTTTAGTATTTAATTATCAAGTTTAATGATTTTAATGTAATTATTTTTTCTAGCTATATTAAAGTTATTATAATTAGTATCTAAAAAATACGTTTGTAATTGTTAAGAAAGATCACTGATGCCTTATTTCAAGTGTATAATTCATGTAAATTTTATAATCTTTTCATTTATATTTGCACATTTAGCATTCTGAGCAGATATACGATAATATATTATTAGCAGGGACATATATATTAATTTTTTTTAAGATTGATCTACAACTTAATAATTTTCAATTTATTTCTAAATATATATCTTTTTTGATAAAAATGTTATTAACGAGAGAAAAAAAGAAAAATTTGGTAAAAACTGAGTACTCTTAAGAGCATACGCACACATATACATAACAGATACACGACGCACACATGAGGAGAGGTTATATGTTGTGTGTTTTGAATTAATTGGATTGAAAAGTATTAGATAATTTTACTCAATGTTATACACTTTATTTTTACAACTTGACAACACATTTGATTTTATAGTGCTAGAGTATTATTGTATGAATATTATATTTATTAAATTAAGACTATTAATATTTCATGTATGCATATAGGATGAATATCGAGGCCAGTATTCACAGTTCATTTTTATATTTAAGATTGCCTTAAATATTATTTCTTACAATGTTATGAATCAATCAAAGAATTGTATTAGTATCTTAAGATATTACGTAAGAGACAATCTTAAAATAAGAATAGACAATGAGTACTAGCTTAAGTTTCTAAATGATTTTAAGAAACGATTCCTCATACTAATTCAAGATAAAAACTTTATATGATCATATGTCTGAAACAGCTTATTTCAAAGATATAGGATGTGAAATTTGAATGAAAAGTTTTTTTTCTTTAATTTCAAAAACTACTAAGGTTATTTTAATGAAATTTCAAGCATGTAGTTAGATCAAGAAGAGTTATCTTTTAAAATTTCTAGACTACTTAGTGCCTATCCTGTATATAGGTTCTCGTATTTTAAATAACCTCCAATATTTTTTAAATGATACATTTTGGAGAAAAATATTATAAATAAAAATGAAATGATTTTGGGGTGCACATATTTTTTTCTAGATGCTCAGGAAGATATAAAGGTCACTTTTACTTTTTTTTAAAGTGGAATTATGTTGTTATATAATATAATTCTTCTAATTATGTTGCACATAGTATTAAGGTAGACATGTAAAAACAACTAATAGTCTACAAGATATTTTATACTTTATTTTGATACATATTAATATGAAGTATTAAATATTATCTAAACACTTAATTTTTTTATAATTGCAGCTTAATAACTTTTATAAACAGAATAATGACATGAATCAGTTGATATAGAGAAAACACAGTTGCTTATTTAAAAATTTATCTATTTTGTTTACATATTTTTTTTAACTGTATTTTTTTTTTGCATTAATTCATCTCATTACTATGTTCATAAAAATATTAAAGTACATTTATCAAAAATTTAATAATTTATGAAATATTTAATATTTTATATCAATATGTGCTAGAATAAAGTATACAATATTTCATAAACTGTTGGATTTTTAATACCTTAATATATATATATAGAATAATTATAAAAATCCTGTATATAGTCCATTAATCCTATATAATCCTATATATTAAGTAAAAAGTGGTTCTATTTAAAAAAGTGGAGGAGGATACATCTTTTCGGTCCCATCCTGAAGAAAAATAACGTAACTACAATACGTTTTCCTCGAAACTGTTCCACTTATATCTGAAACATTTTTCTCTAAATTGCATTATTCAAGGGATTTTTATTTTTAAATGGAACATCCTGTATTTACCCAATTGGAGAAACAATGTAATTTGCTTGCATCTTTTAATAGAATTTAGATTTCTTTTAAAATAAATCGATTTTTTTTACTAATTGTATAAAAGAAAATTAAAGAAGATCCATGAAGAAATTCAAGTTTGTGTTATCATCAAAGAAGTTTGAAAATTGCTAAAATCAATTTTTTAAAATCATGATTTGACATTTTTTATTTAATTTAGTAATTCTATTTAATCTTCTATTTAAGATCTAAATCCTTTTAAATGTCTTGTATGCAATTACGAAAAAAAGACGATATAATTAATGTTTACCATACTTATAAATTGTTAAATTGCGATATAAAGATCACATCTAGGACACATGTTATTCATATTTAATACGTTTATTTTATCAATGAAACATTGTTTATATGCTATCTATTAAGAGTAATAAAGAAAAAGAACTCCTGAGGCTTAAAATGGCAAAAAAAAATAGTAAGCTTTAACATGTTTGGGAAAGTTACTTTGTAAAAAGTTACAATTTTTTCGTTTCAAAAAATAACAAATTTCTATCACAAGTTACCGACTCTAAAAAGTAATAAATTACAGTTACAGTTGCTCAAAAATAGTTTTTCAGTTTTTGTTACCTTTCTATTATTATTACAGAACAAAGTAGGTAATATTTTATAGTTAGAATTAATAAAAAAAAGATTGATTTATGTTTTTACATATTATACAATTTAAAAAAATGTTAAGCCAGAAACACATAGAAAAATATAAGGCAGTAAGATATAAGCAACAAGAGAATCGGCCAATTACAGTAGAAAGTATGAGACAGTAACTTTGCGTTTTGTATTGTGATTGACTACTTTGCGTGTTGCTTACAATACATAGTTCGCTTTTATGGACCGTTTACAATGGGAGTAATATTATGTAATAAGTAGTAAACTGTAAGAAATTGATCAAAAAAGAAATAAAGTTAAGTTAAAGTAAAAAATAGTTATTTAACTGTTACTTAAGCCGACGTCATATGCTTGTTTTCCTGTTGGATTGTGCACGCACTCGTAAACAGTATACATATAATTAAACGTAATATATATATA